TGAGCTCGGACCGGTCTTGGCACGGTTTTTCAAGGGTAGTGTAAATGGGGTAATAATGTCCTCCACTTTTCTAACATCGCATCTTTACCTTCCGCACAAAACGGAGAACTTCTGCTGCTCCTCCGTGCAGCTCGGCTAAATGGGCCGATTTAGGTGAGAACTGAAGGAGTTTATTAATGTTTATATTTACAAACTGAACCACATAATGTTAATTCTGCCCCCATGTCTCCATTAACCTGCCGGTTAGCAGCTCAGCTGCGTCTCATCAATAATTAGTTTGATGAATAAACTTTGTGTTGCAGATGGTTCAGGGTCTCCCAGCAGAGGACGGCTTCGGTCCTCAGGCTGTAAAGTCAGAGAGGACAGGTGGACATATGAAGGACAGCGGCATCCAGGGACAGGAAGAGGAGGCCGCACCTGGCTCAGGTGAGCTTCTCACCAACCAGTGGCAGGGGGCGGGGCTACAGGACGTTTCAGTTTTTTCACCCCCTGTTCTCTTACTCCGTAGATCTGGTGACAACAAATTGGGACGATGTCGCCATGGAAACCGATGAGGCTAGCGATGCAGAGCTGGGGCAGCTTGACCTGGATCTGGACAGGAAGTCCAGGCAGCACAACTTGACGTCCAGGAACGTGCGCGCCATCCTGCATGTGAGAACCCTCCCCCCCCCTGAGCAGACATGGGTGTGCTGAGCTGAAGCGTAACGCACGTTAATCTGTTGCAGGAGGTGATAACGCACGAGCATGTGGTCGCCATGATGAAGGCCGCCATCAGGGATACTCAGGACCTGCCCATGTTTGTGAGTTCCTGGTTACCGGTTAGACAGTTTCTGTTTAACTCAGAACCGCAGAGATAAAGAGTTCTGGAAACTCCATTGAAGACAATGGAGGAAAAGAGAGCTGAAATAGTTAGACGTTAGCCCCTCATGCTAACACTACCATAGACGTAAATAAACCATTCTGAACTGCAGGAAAATTGACAACAGATCTGAAAAATCCCATCATGCTCGCTGTTTCTACCAAGCCTTAAAGGAAAAGTCAGATGAGCAAGAAATAATCAATCAATTTAGCTTTAATCAGTAAAAAAATAAAAACAAACAATATTTTTCGTTGTGAGCGGCCATTTTTTCCCCAAATAGAGACCAACCATGGACTGGATGGAGGTGAAGCTTTTTCTCTTAAAGTAAAATACAGAGGAAATAATGTTAACAAAAGTAGGAATAAAGAATGTTCTGCAGAGTTCTTTAGGTGATTTTAACAAAACAAACGTTTTAAAGGAAAAGTTCTGTCAGCAAGGAATAACTAATGGATCGTTATTTATACCTGAAACTAATACGTTTGCAGTGATTTAATTAATTTAGCGTTAACCAGTTAAAAAATAAAATAAATTTTCAGGGTGATCACTGAGTCTGGGAGCGGCCATTTTTGGCCCACATACAGTAACCCCTCGCTCCTGCCATCTTCCAGCAGTGACGTCACGGTGCGGTAAGCCTAGCGCCATTCTCCCCGCTTTACAAGCTAAATCAATGGGAACTACTAGACACATCTGCAATCAGCAACAATTATTGAAGATTTCCAGAGGACTTCACCATTGAAATTCACCAGAGCTATAGTGAAACTGACTGTGCATGGCAGTTGATG